TGCCGGACTGAGCCGCGGTGCCCCCCCACCCACCCGGGAGACCCTCGCACATGCCTGGGGATGCTGGCTCCCACCCAGTGTGTCCCCTGGAAAGTGCCATACTGACCATTGACCGGCCAGGGTTCCTGATTTCTCCAGCGAGCCCCTGGTCACCTTGGGGCCAGCAAAACACGGGCACTTCCTGTCCGTGACACCCTTTAATTCACACAAAACCCCTCTGAGTCGCCTGACAGTCATCCCATTTTACAGACAAGGAAATGGGCTCTGAAGGTAGCGTCCAAGCCTCAATCCAAACCTCGCCCCTCAGGCTCCAATCCCACTCTCTGTCCCTCCACACCACCACATAAGCAGCTATCAAAGAAGGGCCATTCTGCACAGAAATACTTGACAAAATAAACAGTGTGCTCTGGTTGATGTTTTAGGCTTTTTTTCTCAAAAAAAATATATACATATATATTTCTATGGAGAAAAAAAGGATGGGGGTTATAAAAAGGCCAAAGATTGTGAGGGTTTGCTTATCAGTATTTAATAAGTTTCTGGATCAAAACCCTGTAGAACCTTATTTATGGACAGACAGTCACTGCTAACAGGGCCTTGTTATACAACCTTGTCATCGGAGGGTGCTGTGGCCTTCTGCTGCCCTGCTATTAGTGAGGGATGGGGTGTGAAAGTCGCTGGCCCTGCCAAGATGGTCCCATTAAATCAGCTGCCGTCTCCCAGCATAATCCACTCAGGCCAAGAGCTTGGGGCCTCCAAGGGACCAGCCCTGTCCCAGGTGGCGGGGTCCCAGGGACATCACATCAATCCGTGACTCACTGCCTTAGCAAAATAAAGCGGATGCCACAATTATCCCACTCCTAAACAAACTGGAAACCCAACCGAGCATACTGCAACAAAGAGAGGGCCTTTTTACTGCTGTTTATTTTTATTTTGTATTTGTTAGTTTTTTAGATATTCCCGGCATGCAAGTCAGGCTCCGTGTAACAAGCAGCTGCATTTAGTTAAGGACTTTCAAGGCGTCCCCCGCTCCACTGCCTCTCCTCCAGAGCACTTTCTCAGGTCCTGGCAGCCCGTGCTTCTCTCTTTGTGTCCATGGTACTGCTGTCCCCGCCTGGGAGAAGCGGGGGCCTGGAAGATTCCACCGCCCAGACCTAGAGCTCGCTGGAATAAATCAGCCCCTCCCCCCGCCTGCAGCCGAGGGATACACACATGGGAACCCAAAGGCGCTTCATCAAAACAGCTCATCGCTAGAGGGAAACAACTGCCCGACACACTCCGCAAACCGCATCAAAGTCGCAGTTCATTACAGAAATGTGATTCTCCAGACCCAGTGCAGGCCGGGCCAGCCCGAGCCTCCACCTCTGAGTTACTGCAGGCGCCTGGGGAGGCATAGCCCGTGACCCACTGTCCGAAGTCAATTCTCCAGATGATAGGGTTGAGGGGATGTCCCGTGGCCGCCCTGAAACGTCACCATTGGGCCATACACAAAAAGAACAAAAACTCTAAGAAGTAAACTAGGAGAGACCAGCTAGGACAGCGGATAGTTAGGAGCATCAAACATTGGAGCTTGCAAGCCTAGCACAGCCTCTTCCGGGCCGCAGGACCTAAGAAAGAAACTTAACCTCTGGGAACCTAAATTCCTTCCTCTGTAAACCGAGCTCCTCAGGCCAGCACCGGACCATGTGGCTTAGAACAGCTACCCGGCCATTGTGAGGACTGCCCCAAATGTTTGTTAAATAAATTACACAATTAGGGGCGTCCCAGAATGCTTGGGTTCAGGGAAATCCATTCTCAGTTGAGGTCATATGGACTCAGCACCTTCACCAGCCTCCCCCGGGGCCTAATTAACAGCCCACCAGGGAGCGGGAAAGTGGGCGGGGCGGTCCCAGCAGGACAGACCCTGCCTGGCTCAGAGGAGAACTTGCGGCCAAGGCCCCACCCCTTTCTTCCTACCCTAGCACCAAACTCCTCTGGGCCCTGTCTTTTAGGGGTCGCAGTTTTCTTGGGAAATCTAATTACAGACACAACCATACAACCAGGAACATTTTGCATATTGTTTCCAGAGCCTCACGTGCCCCAAGCTGATTTCACATGCCCACTAGGCCAGGCTCTTCTCCAGGCCTGGGCTGTGTGGTTTTACTGCAGCCTCATGAAACTCCTGTGAGGCCCGGGAAGACTACTCAGCACGCTCACATAAGCAAGGGGAGATTTGAGTCTGGGTCTGTCAAACACCAAAGTAGCCTGTGCTCCCAGGTTATAAGCTGCAACACCCATTTCCACAGACTCCCTCCACACCAGCAAGTGGGCAAGAAAAGGGGGAAAGTCTTTGTAAATGTCACACTGTGTTTTTACTAAGGAAACCAAGTAAGAGCAGTTTTATGTACAACCAGGAAAGTTATTTTATGTTGGCTCAACAAAAAACAATGGACCCTTGCCATGCCTGTGTGGCACCTATGTCCTTATGTGACGAATTCATACAGCAAAGCCTTCGGCTCCCCATAGGACGACCGGTGCAATTTTCAAGACATCTGAAAGGGGCTGGTAGTCAGCTTGGCCAACGCTGACCAATAAGCGACATACCACTGGGACACATTAAGTAGAATGTGGAGTGTGTGCTCCCCGAGGAGACAAAGGATATCGGAGACCAAAGCTGAGTTTTTAAAAGGACTCTAACTAAATATCGGGCAGAGGATCCTGGGCAACAGAGCATCAGATCAGCCTAGCAAGTGTGGTAAATCACTGTTGCACACCAAGTATTTGTGGAACTCTGCCAGTGCAGTGTGACACCACACCCTGGTCTCAGGTAGGATTTCTCCACTGCAGTGGGGTGACCAGACCTCGGCCCTTCCTGTTTTCCCCAACAAAGCTGACAGTCACGTTGTACTTTGGAGACAGGACAGAACCTACTCCAATGGCAACAGAGGAGTCACAAAATGATGGTGCACATGGCCCAGGACCTCTGGCCCGACCTCAAGCAGCAAACCACACAATCAGTTGGCTTCTAGAAAGGCCGGAACAGGTTCCTGAAACCTCGAGGTCTGGGGGCAGGAAGCTTCAGCTTCCTAGACAAGTCCAGCCTCAAGTAGGCAGGAGGGACACTGGGAAACAACCATCAATGGCTTCCAAGCACTCAGGATAAAGATTTTCTCCTGGGGCCGGGGATTAGCTCAGTGGTGCCACGCCTGCCTCGAAAACGCAAGGTCCTGAGTCCTATCCCTGCCACTGAGGGAAAAAGAACAAGATTACCTAGTGGCCAACAACAGAAAAGCAATGGGAGAAATGCTGAGTGTTTTGTTTGTTTGTTTATAATTAGTGAAATAAATCTCCTTTAGCAGACTTCCTGAGCCAGTGGCTGGGTCACCTTGGGAACCTCACATCCGGGGACAGGAGTGTGGGCTCCTCAGAGAGGGAACAAAGCTTCATAGAAATGGAAGACAACCCGCAAGACAATAATGCACGCCAGGGTTGAGCTAAGCGGTAAAGAGTACTGAAGAGGCAAAACTCTTTGACATGTTTCAGAGCCTATAAACAGTTACAGGAGACAGAAGTTACACAAAACGGTGGTTACACTGAGCAAAATCATACCAGGGACATTTATTTAAAGGCAAAGGACCAAAAGTGAAATCTTCCCTCTCCCCACCCCAGCCCCCAGGGGCACCATCGAAAAGCAATCACTGATGAAAAGTTAAGTACAAAGTACTGGAGTTCAGAGAGGAAATAAGTGGATTAATCAAGGCCCAAGCTGGGAGCCCTACCTGAGGTAGAACCGCCTTGTTATCTACATCTCAATTTGTGGCAAAGCCGGACTTCAGAAGGATGTTTACGTCGTGCAGGAGCGTGCACCACGCTGGACGCACCCAGGTGTCCTGGCACGCGGCCAGAAGCTTGGCATCACCAAGCAAAACCTCCGCGTGACCAGCTGTTTACATTTCATTAGGGCTCTCCAACCGGGAGGTGCCTCCCGCGATGCACATCTTAATTACAATTAGGACCCATGTTTACCCCAAGGAGCCCGGATTAGCTCAACCACCCTCGGGGAATGCTGCTCCCCCCACTCCCCAAAATCGCCCCCAAGAAATCAAAATCCACACACGACTTTTCTCCAGCGTGCTTTCTACGGGGAAAGGGAGGCGCTCGCTTACTAAAAACTTCTTCTGCAGTGAACGGATCTGAGGAAACCAGAGCCTTCTTGTCCTAAACACCGCGCCAGCTTGAAAACGAAAGATACATGATAAAAGAGCGGGCTCGACTGATCCGCGCAGGTTTGGGGCTGAGGGCGGGGGCAGGAGGCACCGGGCCGCACCCTCCCCGCCCCCTCGGCCCCCCATGCGTGTTAAAACCGAGGCCCTGGGACTTCACTCAACTTTCCCCACAGCCCCAAGGAATGCAGCGCTGGGCTCCAGGCGCGGCCGGCTCTTCGCAGCCCTGGGCCGGCTCGGTTGCAGCGGGAGACGCGCCCCGCGGGGCGCCCGGGCGCGGGGCCTCCTCCCGCCCGCGACTGACCTGGGACAACCGGAATCGAGTTTGCGTGGCCGGCGTTTCCTCGCTGGTGTGAGTCGCGCACACACCAGAGCGGGCTGGGCCCGCTGACAGCACAGTTTGCACAAAGTGGCTGCGGCGCGCGCTCGGGCCTCGGCGGGGTCCCGGGGCACGGGGACCCGAGAAGCCGAACCCCCACCCAGGCCCGCAGGACTCGCGGCTGGGGAGAGCGGCGGGGACCGCACCGTTCCCGGGCACCACGCGGCCTGACCCGCGCGCGCCCCGGGGCGCTGACACCGAGCGGACCCCGATCCCGGGCGGTGGCGCCAGCCCGGGTCCCGCGGGACGCACGGGGTCTCGGGGGATCGGGAATCGCTGGGACTGAGGGGGTGCTCGGGGGTCTCGGGAGTCCTGGCGTCGCAGGGACCGGGGGTCGCGGGGACTGACGATCGGGGATCGCGGGGCGCACGGAGGCCCGCGGTTGGGGTTGCGGGGATCCGGGCCCCGGTCCCGGCTCTCACCTTGGGCGGCGGCCCGGCCCGCGGCCAGCAGCAGCGCGCACGGCAGCAGCAGGAGCGGCGGCGGCGGGCTCATCGCTCCCTCCCGCGCCCCGCGGCGGCCCGGCCTTCGTCCCCAGCGCGGCCCGGGCGTCTTCGGCCTCGGCCGCCGGTGCGCGACCTGGCCCGAAGCTCCCGCCCGCCGCCCCGCCCCGCCCCGCTTGTCACTGCAGCGCTCGGCCACGCGCCCCAGACCCAGCCCCGGCTGGCGCCGCCAGCGCCCCCTGCCGTCCAGCACGGCACCGCACGGCTGCCCCGACCCCGCCCCGCCGACCAACGCCCGGGCGGAGGACCTGGGCGGGCGCTGACCTCGCCTGCGGCCCGGCCTTCTCCTCCTCCTCGGGCTCCCCCACGGCCGCTGTGTCCCCGCTGGTTTAATTTCCGGCTGTACTGTGTCCCGTCGGGGACCCTCCTCTGCTGCTGCGTGAGACGTTTTGCGGGAGCGCCCGCCCCCGCCGTGTGTCCATCTGTGCCGCACGTGGAGAGCCCTGCAGTGCCTTGCTCTTCGCCTGCCCTTGGTCACTTCTGTGACTTCGTCCGTGCTTTGGTCCTGCTGCTGGGCCGCGCCGCGTGTTCTGGTCCATTTTGCTGGACTCGCTTTGTGAACTCTCCGATGGCGTGGCTTCCCTGTGGGCAGGGCCCTGGGTCACACCGGTTGCTGAGCACCTGCCACGTCCAGCCCTGCCCTGAGGGGCAGGCCCCATCCAGGACCCGTGGTCACTTCCTGAAGACCCCTGTGTGCCTGCTGCTCTCTAAGCATTTGCTCAAGTCCTCCACAGACCCCAAAATAAGCTACTAAAAACACCACTGCACTTTGCCTTTTTACATATTGTCCCATAGTCCATCTGTAGACCCTGAGATGCAGAAGGGGAGCACACGACGTGTCCACAGTCCCTACGGACTGGGGAACTCAGACCCGTTACCGCCAGAGCTCAGGGAGGGGCTGGGGCTCCTAAGGAGCACCGCCCCCCCAGGCCACGTCTCCAGATCCTGTGGGCCCCATGATTGGGTGCTTCAGACAGCACGGGAACACAGAACCACCCCGCCATGGGTGCAGCCAAGGTGGCCCTTCGGGATGTGTCTTCTCCAGTTCCTTCCTCATCCTATTAGTTTGGGGAATTTATGCTCCTCACGCCAAGGAATTCAGGCCTCAGAGCTGAGGCCTTAGAAGGCGACATGTGGCCCCAAGTGTGTCCCAGCAAGTCCCAAGGAGCCAGCCTCCCAGCCCTGTGCCTTCAGGCAGGTGAGTGGCTGGTGTGGGACAAAGAGTCGCTTATTCTCCAAGACCTCAAGGCAGGGCCTGGGCCGCCCACACCCTTCCCCGCACTCTGACCTGAGGTCAAGGAATGGTAGACAGGGAGGCCTGGGGTCAGCCCTCAGCAAGGGAGGTCAGTGCTCCAAGTCTCTCTGCATGAGACTTGCGGAGCAGTCTCGACTCCCTGCAGGCACACGCCCGAGGCCTTTCTGCACCAGGCTCCCTTGTTGGAAACAGTCTTTGACAGCCCAGAAGTCAGCCGAAACTTCATGCCCTGCACGCAGCCGGCTGTCCTCCGCGATAGGACACACCACTGCCACCCTGGTGCCTTCACCCTCCCCCTGCCCCAGCCCCACCCCGTCCACTGGCCCAGGTGTCTTAGGTAACAGACGCTGCCATTGCTGAGCATACAGAAGTTAATGGCACTTTTATCAGTACTTAAACTGCTAGGAGCAGAATCATGGGGGAGGGGAATGTGAGAGTCTAGGGCCTTAGAAGTAAACAAGCACACCCGGCCTGATGCAAGAGAAACGTGGCACTTGGGCAATGACCCTCCCTTGCCCAAGGCCACAGAGCTGGCCAGCGCCAGACCCAGAGGCCAGGCCCCTGCCATCCCAGATGTCTTCTGGTTTGGCACACCAGCTCCCAGAGAGCGGGTTAGAAGAGGTGCCTCCTGTCCTCCTGTCTCTAAAAAAAAGAAAAGAGGGATTCACAAAGGAAACCCTCATATGCAAGGCCACAAGGAGGACCCAGGGTGGGGCGCGTGCCAGGCTCCAGCTCCACATCTCTGGTTACTGCCCATGACTGGACCGACATCTGTGTCCCTCTGGGATGACAGCAAGAGTGACCCTGCCACGCTGTGGAGGTAAAGCCAACTTCGTGGAAATCAGGGCCAAAAACTGCAGTAAACAAAGGAACAGGCCTTAAAATCAGCCTTCAGTGGCCTAAACCGCAGGCCAGGAACAACCCACCTTGGGGGTGTGAACAGAAGTGAAACTTTCTAATAAACTCCCGTGTGGGGCAGAAATACAACTTAGCCCCAGCTGTTCATAAGCAGCCAACTAACAAGGTTATGTGACAAGGGGCTTCCCTAGAACTCTGCAAAAGAGGGCAGTTCTGTAGCTACAAACAAGTTAAATCATTTCTTAATTTTGCCTCTCCATTTTCCCAGGAAACGCTCACCTGTGACATGTTTGTTGTTTCAACACTAATCGCTGTCTGGTGTTCCCTTACTCATGAATTGCTTCTTACTCAAACTTGAAAAATTACCTTGTGCCTCAGTTTACTTTTTTACAGTAGTTAGTGTTATTTAACTCATACAGTGCTTTTATGACTTCTCTAGCAAGACGAGGCACTTAATAAATGTTAGATGTTAGCGCCATTATTATTCACCTGCACGAACTCACACCACCAAAAACCCTCAGAAGTTGGTCTTGTCCCCATTCTTTACAGAAGAGGAAATAAAAGTGAAACTTCCCCACAAAACAAAATTAAGGAAGAAGGGGAAACTCAAGCCCAAGCTAAGTCTCTGTGCCCTTGCATCCAGGGTGGGCATCGCGAGGCGCCCTCGCTGGCTTCCAGACCCCGCCCTCCCTTTCCCAGGACAGTTTTCTCTTTTGCGCTTCCGGCGTTGAGAGCCAGGGTTCTGTGCATGCCTGGAAGTGCTCACCACTGAGCTGTGCCGCAGCACACCTGGGTGCAGTGAGGCCCCTGGGCACCTGCCGCTTGGACACGCAGTCCCCTGCCTGGCTTCCCCCAGCACACACGGCTCTGCTTGGGATCGCCGTGGTCCCATAGAAGGCAGAACAACGGAGACGCAGTGGCATCAAGCGTCTGGGCAGCAGCCTTCGTCTCGGCTGTGGGAGAGGCTCCCGGGGTACTTGCTTGACTCACCCAACGCCTGCGACCTTTCGTGGTTCCTCTGGGAGATGCCGTGTATGTTGCCTGACCAATGACGAGGAAGGGCTGAGGGCGGACACAGGGCTCTCAGTCTGGGCCCTGCAGTCACAGCTGTGGGAACGAGGGGCCCTGAGCCGGGGTCCCCTCCTCTGTGAAGAGCAAAACAGCCACACCTGCCAGACGCTGTTCTGAAAATAAATGAATTCATACCGTCAAGGTTTTGGTGCAGTGCCTATCGTGGGATACGCAGGCAGTGTTTATTAGCTACTGTTACTGGTGATGAAGAACATGACTAGAGGACCCGAGCAAGTTATTTAACAATTTAAGAAAACAGAGAGAAATAGTAATACAACCAATGATATCAAGTCCTTTTTGGCATAAGAATATATTCTACTGTGAATAGAAAGATCTTGACATACCGTTTGGTACTCATTCAATAAATTGTTATTGTTATTATTCTCTAAGCTCCTGTATTATGGGCTGGAGGCATAAATTTGGTGATCACACAGACTGGATTTCTAGCACATTCTTGATTTCATATTCCATTGGCGCACTAGGTTCATTTATACATGGATAACAGAGAAGATAAAAGATGAGAGGGCTAGTGTCATCATCAGATTTATAAACAAGAAATTCAAGAACAGTGAATGATTATTAGTAAAGCTAATACTCGAGTACTGTAGACTGCAACACTTCTAAAAGAAGACATGGGAGAAAATGTTAGTGATCCTAGATTTAGCAGAAATTTTTTAAGTCACAAAAGCCAAGAGCTTTAAAAGACATTAAAAACAAAAAATCACAGGGGCCATGGTGGCACACACCTATAATCTCAGCACTTGGGAAACTGAGGCAGGAGGATCACAGGTTTGAGGCCAGCCTGGGCAATAGAGTAAGGTCCAAGCCAGTCTGGACTCCATAGCAAGACCCTGTCTCCACCATTCCCACCCCAAAAAAGGGAAAAAAGCAGGTTAGAGGGAACAGACCATTAAGTAGAAAAAGGCCTAGATACACGTGAGCATGCACACACACACACACACACACACACACACACACACACACCCCTACTGTCATTCATACATTCAGAGACAGAAATGCAAATATTCCTTTTATGAAACAAGAACAGGATTCAGTGAGGGTAAGGAGGAAAGTCAAAGAAAAAAATAGTCCTGAAAATTAAAAATAATACGGCCAAAATGCAGAGTACAGTACAAGGAGTAGAAGAAATAAGGCAAGGACTGAAAATGATGGCAATAATGAGGAGAATTTCAGGATCACGATAGGAGGAAATTATATAAACAGTAAGTTCAGAAAATAATACATAAAATGAGGTGTAGAGAATTAACAAAACTAATTACTGAGAGCTGGGGATGTTGTTCATTGGAAGAGCCCCTGCCTCAAATGCCCCAGGCCCTGGTTTTAATCCCCAGAAAAAGAGAAAGAAATCTTTTCCTCAACTGAAGGATGTAAGTTAGCATATTATAAGTTCCCGCGGCAGGCCTACTAAAATGGATGAAAATAGACCCTTAGACCCGAGGAAACAGTGTTGTGAAAGCACAGAATATTAAGGGAAAAGAAAAGTTCCTAAAGCTTCTAAAGATTTAAAAAGTCAAGAGATTACATGCAAAGAATTAGGAATGAAAATTACACTTAGTCTTCTTAGCAACAGTACTAACAGCAGACAACCTGAGAGAAACGCGTTCCGCTGTGTCCAGACGCCCCTCAAAGCCTCGTGCAGTCACAGGTGGGGCTTCTTCGGGGTGCCTGGGTCTAGACTGTGATGCTGAGATTGATTCATGGTGCAGTGTTGGGCTCAAGCCGCCAGGGTTACGGGTGTGAGTGCTGCCCGCCCTAAGTCGCCTGGATGGGAGAAGGGGCAGAGAGAGCCGTGGTCCTCTCTGGCTGGCTTT